ATATATATATATATATATCATAATGCAAACTTTCAGCAAACAAACAGAAAGATGCAGTGAGAAATTTGCATTCTTTTATGTATTTCTATTTCTACCTATATCCTGCAACATAGTAAAGAAAGATGTTTTTGTACATAAGACCTTAAAGTTTGAAATTAAAAAATATTTATTAAAATCTATCATTGTAAACACAGAAAAATAAGGTAATGAAGGATAATAATAAAATAAAAAAATAACATTAAAAATTATTTTAATAAGAAGGATGAACCAAGTGTGATGCTATCAATTTATTAATGTTCAGCTCTCTGTCAGCACCATTCTTAAATCACTATGATTGGTTATTTGTAGTCAGTTTATTTTTTAAGTTAACAGATTTGTGACTGCACTGAATCCCATGTTTCACTAAATATGATGAAGGGAACATATTTAAAAACTTTTATAGTATAGTCCATAATCCGGGATAAAGTGTAGGCATCCATTTTTGCAGCCTGAACTGTTAGTAGCAGTCTTTGGATTTAAATTTCAATTCCTCATTTCTTGTTTCTTCTATCAGTATTTGTAATTTTGGAGATTGTTGTGTGTTTGTACTTGATAAAGTGTCCAAAACACAGTCAATTATGTTATTTTAAGAATATCTTCAAATCATTGATTGAAGTCAGAATTGAGATCTTCCAAGTGCTGATAATAGATATAAAAAAAGTCTTCATTATGTTCTACTGTTGATAAATTTGGAAACTGAATTCCCCTTGACCTAAACATAATTTATTCAGAAGAAGTTTAGCCATAAATGCAGAAATAACAGTTTTTGTTTTGATTAAAATCAGCTCATCACCTTGGAACATTAGAGTTGCTTCATTAAATTTGTTAAACAAGTCCATCAAAAATAAGCTATGTCTTTTTGGAATCAATCCAGTTGACTTGTAAAGCATCATCATTGTTTTCTAGGAACTCTAGCACTGAGTCAAAGTCAAAGTTTATAAAACTAATCCAAACAGGCACCTTTTGATAGCCAATGATCTGTATGATGCAGCAAGTAATTGAATTCTTCATCATTTTCAATGCAAAACTGTCCAATCTGTCATTCAACAAATTGCTTCTGATTTTGTTGATTGCTTTAATGACATAATATAATGACCTATGCAGGCATTTACTCAGTTTTTTTGGCAGCCAAATGTTGACAATGAATGACATAGTGTATAGTGAATACATTTGGCACCACTTTTTTAAATATGCAAGAAAACTCTTGTAGCATCTTATCACTTGAGTGCTATCAGTAGAAACTGACAAACTCTTACTTATAGATTTCTTTATCTTTAAAAAAAAAGTCTTCCAATGCATGAATTTGATTCATCTTTAGTATCAGTTTGAAAATTTTTAGCAAATAATAATTCTTGGCAAATTTTTTTCTTTTATGTATGACACATAAGCTAAAAGTAAGACTTCATTTCATGGCAAGGTTGAAGCTGTGTGAAGCTTGATGAGCCAACTTAAATACTCATTTCAGGTCCCGAAGACTTTAAAACCTGAAAATGAAGACTATGATCTCCAAAAAAATTTGTTCTACTGTGTAAATATTTCACATTACTGCTGGAGTAATTTATACTTCATAATTTCTCTAATTTATTGCCATTACTTATACATTTTTAAAAATAAAATTATATTAATATTTAAAATAGACAAGAATTTACTCATTAATAATTTTTACAAAAATTATATAATATATATTTTTATTTTTATAGTTGATGGAGCTATTCATAGAGCAGCTGGGAGTGAACTCAAAGCTGAATGTGCAACTCTTAATGGCTGTGAAACAGGCAATGCAAAAATTACAGGAGGTTATAGATTACCTGCCAAGTGTAAGTTAAAATTCATTATTCATAATGTATACATTGTTTCTCGATTCTAAGACACACCATGAGTTTGGATTGAATTTCAAGATGTTTTTACAGAGGAAAAACTTTCAAATAATCAGTTTTATTAAGTTTTTAGAAAAACAATACAAATACCATGAAATAGATAATATTTAGAAACTGTAACAAAATGCTGTAGGAAATGTTATAAAAGTTTCTTTAAAACTAAAAGATAATTTTGAAAAAATATATGTTCTGATGTTATATAATGAGAAATGTATATAACAACTATTCCAGCTTTAATGCTTTTTAATGCCAAATTTAATATTATTAATTCAGATTTGCCAGCTTTTCTTTACAACNATACAGAAATTAAAAATGTTTAATTAATATTTAAGTTTTAAGTCAACAAAAAATAAACAATATATATGTACAAGGTGTAACCAAATATTTCTGATTAAATAGTTTATCTATTTAATCAGAAATATTTGGTTACACCTTGAACGGCACAAGAAGTCCTAAAAACAAATTTTATTAGAAAAACTATTTGCCAGTACTGAACTGTCTACAGCTAGGAATGACAAAAAATTGTCCTTAATCAATCAATACCAACAATTTAAATGTGAAAAGTCCAAGATTTTACAGCTGAAAGCATACATATCAGCTTTGTAGTTATCTTTTATACACCTTACTGACATACTAATTAAAAGAACTTTGCAAAAACATAAGATTTGTATTCACAAATAATTTTTAATGATTTTATTTATTTATGTATTACAACCATTATTTCTAATTTTGATATATATTTTTTTAATTTTCTACCACACCAACATAATTATGCAAATTAGTTAATAATCTAGCTGTTGGAGCTAACAAAAACAATTTCAAATTTAAAATAATGGAAATAGAATGACAAATAGTATAAGTAATAAGCAATTTGAAAAAATTATAGACCTGTGAATTTCCACTGACGTCCATCTGTCTTTCCTTAATCTCAAAAACGGAGTGAGATAGATGAAAGATGAGACCATATATGAAAAGCTTAGGGACAGCTCTGATTAACTATATATGAATTTCCAATGCTAACACGTTATTTTAATTTAAAACTTCCCTCTGAAAGGAGTTAATAGATGACCAGCATGACAGTATTGCTGTCAGGAAAAGTATGATGTACAGGGGCACAACACTACTAATTTGAGGTGGAAAGCATATATATTTTAAATTAAATAAATTAAAAAAATACAATTAAAAATTGCAATCCAGCATTGTAATGATGTTACAATAAATAATTGCTTTTTATAAATAAATTCTTGCATCATCTAATGTAATTAAATCAGTGCCTTAATCAATGAAATAATTTTGTTAAATGGTTGTTTTGATGCCATATTTTCATTTTATTCTATTTTTTATTAATTATTAAATGAATTATACTTTTTAAAACTTTCTGTGTTTTTATATATTATCTCAGTTCATTTCTGATGTTTTAAATAAATCAGTGGTTAAATAGTTAACTTATTCTGTACTTGATTGTTAAAAATGTTGATTTAAAAACATTGATTACCTTGATTTTAAATACATTAAATTATATTTTTTTTCAAAATTGAATACTTTAAATTTTAAATGCCGTAATAAATTTTAACTTTATTTTTAATATGAATTCTTTAAATCATTTTTCTCAAATCAAGACACTAATACAGTTTTTTTTGCTTGTTTCTTTCTTTTATGGACTATTTAATTATCATAAAACAATACTAAAAGTAATTTTTCTAGTAGTAAAAAAGATGATGATATTTATGTACTGTACAGAAAATTATTTTTTAATGAAAAATTAGTTTTCTGTCTTAAATTTGTTATTACATTATTATTATTATTATTATTAATATAAAACAAAGACACTATTGAAATTATTTGATGTATAAAAATAAAACAAAAATATTTATTAAATACATATTTAGTTTCCTAATATTACTCTTTATTTTCTCTTTCAATGATTTTGTATGTCTACACACAAATTAAAAATATAGTTAGACATTTTTTGAATGTTAATATAATGCTTTATAAACTGATCATATTATTTTAAACATCAAACTTTTATAAAAGGTTACATTGACCTTAATATTTATATAAACTGTAGCATAATACTCCTTTTAAAATTTTTGTTCTAATGTTTACTCTAGAATCTTTAATCTCATATTAGTTATAATTTATTTTCACTTTCTAGATTAGAAAAACAAAGCAGAATTTAAACACAAGTTTTGATTATCAATGCTAATCTGTTCTAAAATAAGAGTGTTTAAATGTAGAAAGTTATATAAATAAAAATTAGAGAGACATTTTTTTAATTTTTATTAAATTGTTCAATTCATTCAAACATATTTTTGGTTCTTAAAATTTTATTTTTGTTTTTTAAT